TAAATATATATATATATTTTTTTTTTCCCTACACCCCCGTTCTCCATTTGACATTTGGGGTCCGAGGGGGTGGGGGTTGGGCGGTAGGCCGCCTGGTTGGGGTCTGGGCTGTGGGTGGGCCTTGTGGGGTGGGGCCGGTGCTCCGGTTCTCCCTGGGTTGTTTGGATTTTTTGATCAAGGTTCCTGGTTGTGATGGCCGGCCCTTCGGCTGGCGTGACTGCCAGGTTCCAGCGGGGGTCAGCTGTGGTTGTGTGTGTGATTGTTGGTGGTGTATGGCGGCAGTCGGGGGCGTGGCTTCGCTTTGACGGGGCGCTGGCTGGTCGGCCTAGTGTGACATTAGCGGTGGGGGGTGCTGTATGTATGGGGGGTGCGTAGATGGCATGCCGGGGCCTCTCCAGGCCTGGGGTGTGGGCTGTTGGGGTGCCTGGTCCTTGGTGTGCTGGGCTGGCTTTCCTCAACTGCTGCTCCCTGCTGCTTTGGCCCCCGGCCTGGGGCTGGCTTGCGGTCATTGTCGGGTGGGTGGGGCGCATGGACGGTCCAACGGAGGTTCTGTCGGGCTGTCTCTGTGTGCCTGTTTATGTCTTGGGTTGGGTTTTAGGTGGTCCCCTCTCATGGATCAATTTTGGCCCCCCATTTAATGTGGGGTCTACTTCCCCCTGTCATGCTCCCCTCCGGTGGTGGGCCCCCCTTCCGCCGGTTCATTGGCGGCTCTCGGCATCTGGGGCTGGGTGGTGGGGTGTGTGCCGGCCTGCCCTGGTGGCTGCCTGCTGGGGCCTGAGTGCCCTGGCTCTGTCTGGCCTCTGTTGGGGGGTGGTATGACCTCGGGGCTCGGTGTCCATGGCTGGTTCCACTCTGGAGGGGCGGGTTGCCGGCGGGGCCTGTGGACTCGTCGCTGCAGCCTCCTGGGGTTTCTGCATTGTGGTTGCTGGGGATCGCCCGGGGCTTCCCTTTGCTTCTCTCTGGGGGGTGCGGGTGTCCCTGTTGGGAGACTCCTGGAGTTCCGGGCTTGGGGGCCGCTGTGTGTCTGTGGTTCCGGTCTTCCCTGTGTTACCTTGGTGTCCTGTGGGGATGGATCTGTGGGTCCCCACATCCACTATTGAACATTCTTCTGGAGAAACCTTATAGTGACATCATGCTCATACAGGTGTTTAGATCCAGGTGTTTATCAGATACACACTCAGTTGGGTTGTGGTGGCCACTAAATACATCTTGTATTACCATGTACTGTATAAAATACTTTCTAATGATGTTATAAGTATCATTATATAAGTTGTTTGTTGTGGTTTCTTGGTTTTGTCTTTTTTCTCTTTCCGCAGGTCTAGAGTCAGACTTCAATGATGTTGATTTGTGTTCTCTTTATCTCTCTCCTCTATTCCTCTCCTTTACATTTTAACTCTTCTCTCACTTTTCTGCTTTGTTTTCTTCTTTGTTTTTCATCCCCATGTCCATTACATCTGAAACAAGCCCAAAGCAAATTCTAATAAGGTTTTATTTATATATCAAGCAGAGCATTAAGGCCAGCCCTGATGCTCTGCTTGTGAAGGTAAATCTGTTGGGCGTCACTTTGACACTCACACAATAATTCTGAGTGACACAATGACGGACAGGACAAGGGAGAAAAAAAAAGAAAGAAAATTTATCCCATGCTGTTTAATAAATTTACCTAATGGAAGCATATACAAGGTAAAGAGTATTGGTCCAAGCACTGAGCCCTGAGGAACTCCATGACTAACTTTGGTGTATGAAGAAGATTCATTATTTACATTTACAAACTGGAATCTATCAAATAGATATTTAAACCAATTTAGAGCTGTTCCTGTAATCCCAACATCATATTCAAGCCTCTAAAATATTGTGATCAACTGTATCAAATGCAGCACTGAGGTCTAACAGGACCAACAGTTAGAAGATATATGGATGCAGTTACAGAGGACATGGAGGTAGATGGAGTGGGGACAGAGGATGCAGAGGACAGACATGGACATGGAGGAGGACAACTCGCTGTGGCGACCCCTGAAGAGGGAAAAACCAAAAGAAGAAGAAGAAGCACAGACATAGACACAAACATGCCTTTCTCAGGCAACATGGTGGCACAGCAGGTAGAGCTGCTGCCTCTCAGTGAGAAGGTCACCAGTTCAAATCCCTGCCAGGGGCCTTTCTGGGTGGAGTCTGCATGTTCTCTCCATGCTGCATGGGTTTTCTTTGTGTACTCCAGTTTCCTCCCACAGACCAAAAACATGCATGTTAGAATGATGGTAACTCTAAATTTTCCCTGAGAGTGAATAGTTGTTTGTCTTGTTTGTCGCTGTGTCCCTGTGATGGACTGGAGACCTGTCCAGGGTGTCCCCCACCTCTCACACAGTGGTAGCTGGACATGGGCACCAGTGACCCCCGTGACCCGAAAAGGTAATGATGGATGGATGTCTCTCTCTCAGCACACTGACTCAGTTTATAAGGAGGTCCAACAACGTCTTCACTTTCTGAGGAAAGTAAAGACCTTTCAAGTCAGCAGGAGCACACTGACCTTGATTTACAAGTCCCTGATCGATTCCATTTTAACTATTAACATTTCATCCTGTTTCAACATCATTAACGCAAAACAGAAAGACAAATTACACCGAATAATTAATCAATCAAGTGCAATAACTTGGCTCACCTCAGTGCCCCCTGTCAGACTTCTACAGCTGCTCAGTGACCAAGAAAGCCCCCCTGGTCCCTGAGGACCCCTCACATCCACTACACAACTTCTTCCAGACACTTCCATCATCAGGCGTTACTGAGTCCCGCTGGCCAGGAAGAATATTTATAATAAATAATTTGTACCATCTGCAGTAATGTTCTTAAACAAAGCTAAGTAGACACATTTTAATGGTAGTAACTAAAGGTGTGGTTTTTATTATGTTCTATTGTTGGCTCGTGTGTGTGTGTGTGTGTGTGTGTGTGTGTGTGTGTGTGTGTGTGTGATTATAGCACATCAAAGGAGAATTTCTGCCACAATTCTGGTAGACAAAGTTTAATGTTAAATAAAAGTTCACCATTTTTCTTGTGTAACCAACTACTCCAGCAAATTGCACCAAAAAAATGTAGTGTTCCGATGTCAGTGGTGGTTCATGCTTAATGAGTATGATACGTGGCACATGTTTTACGTCATGTACTCTTGTGTTTCATTTGTTTTTTCTACAGGTATGGCCAGGTAATGGCCAGCAGAGAAACCATGGTGACCTCAGAAACCTCAGCAGCACCTATTCCTCTCACAGCACTGTCACGCTGGTACCTTTACGCCATTCATGGCTACTTCTGTGAAGTAATGTTTACTGCAGCCTGGGACTTTGTGGTTCACTGCAACTGGAAGTTTCCTGGCGTCACCAGCGTGTGGGCGCTCTTCATCTACGGCACCTGCATCATCATTGTGGAGCAGATGTACCTGAAGCTGCGTGGCTGCTGCCCCGTTCTGCTGCGCTGTAGTATCTACACGTTGTGGACTTACTTGTGGGAGTTTGGCACAGGTCTGCTTCTGCGCCAGTTCAACGCCTGCCCCTGGGACTACTCCGAGTTCCGCTACAACTTCATGGGGTTGATCACAGCCGAGTACGCCGTGCCATGGTTCTGCGCGTCCTTCATTGTGGAACGCTTCGTTATCCACAAAACCCTGCGGCTGCGCTTCCACGAGGGGCCTGAAGACGGTTGGTCAAGCCATCAGTCGGATGCTCGCGTTGCTGGAGGAGGTTTGACAAGTAGCAGGCAAACAGAACAGAGAAGAGGAGTTGGAAGTAAAGCAAATGGATATCTTAAGGTGGAATGAGTTGAGGAGCAGTCTCTGTCACTGCCATACCTCCTTAACCCTCCTCTGGCACTATTCATATGCAGCCCACCATGCTCAGTGTTTGGGTTGGAGACAAATGTCTGAATTATTAGTGTGCAGACGGGTAATGAGTAGAAGAAGAATCATTAAAAGAGAACCTACAGCTGCACATGACTCAAGACTGTCTTCTGCTAAGAAAACAGTTTGAACTAACTGCTGCATTTCATCAGACTTCCATTTCACTGTGGCTTCCACCCTAACATCAGGGTTGGGAACGATCTGTACTTGAATCCTGTTTGTCTACACCAGGGGGGCCCAATACGTCAATGGCGATCTACCTGTCGACCTCAAAGGTATTCTGGGTAGATGGCATTAAAAACTAGACGTCAGCCGATCATCTTCTATGAAATGTGTCTCTTGATTGACAGACAGGCAGCCAGTCTGAGGCCCCGTTCCCACGACGTGAAACGTTCGTTCATTTACAGACAACATCCTCATTCTTTCTGAAACCGACGGTTTCTGAGTCCACGTCTCAGATTGAAGATTTACAGGGAGCCCCCCCATGGAGGTGTGAAATGCTCCAAGTGTGAAGTGTCACATGCACACTCCAGCCGGCTGCAGTCCAAAGTTTTTCTGCTCTAACAACAGTTATAATAAATATAACAACAGTTATAATAAATATAACA